ACACTGCCACCCAGCTTGGTGTCGTCTGCGAACTTACTGAGGGTGCACTCGATCCCCTCGTCCAGATCATTGATAAAGATGTTAAAGAGAACTGGCCCCAGTACTGAGCCCTGTGGGACACCACTCGTGACTGGACGCCAGCCGGCTTTAACTCCATTCACCACCACTCTCTGGGTCTGTCCCTCCAGCCAGTTTTTAACCCAGCAGAGGGTATTCCCATCCAAGCCATGGGCAGCCAGTTTCTCCAGGAGGATGCTGTGGGAGACTGTATCAAAGGCTTTGCTAAAGTCCAGATAAACAACATCCACAGCCTTTCCTTCATCCAGCAAGCGGGTCACTTTGTCATAGAAGGAGATCAGGTTTGTCAAGCAGGACCTGCCCCTCGTGAACCCGTGCTGGCTGGGCCAGATTGCATGGGTGTCCTTCATGTGCTGCATAATGGCACTCAGGATGATCTGTTCCATGATATTCCCAGGCACCGGGGTCAGACTGACAGGCCTGTAGTTCTCTGGATCATCCTTCCGACCCTTCCTGTTGATGGGCGTCACATTTGCCAGACGCCAGTCGGCTGGGACCTCCCCAGTTTGCCAGGACTGCTGGTAAATGATGGAGAGTGGCTCCTCAAGCACTTCTGCCAGCTCCCTCAGTACCCTCGGGTGGATCTCATCTGGTCCCATAGGCTTGTTTGCATCTAGGTGTTGGAGCAGGTCCCTCACCATCTCCCTTTGGATTACAGGGTCTTCATGCTTCTCCCTGCCCCTGCCTGCTAGTTCAGGGGTCTGGATACTTAGGGAACCCCCTACTCTACTACTAAAGACTGAGGCAAAGAAGGCATTCAGGACTTCAGCCTTCTCCTCATCCTTTGTCACTGTGTTACGTCCCTTATCCAGTAGAGGATGAAGGTTCTCCCGAGTCCTCTTCTTGCTATTAATATATATATAGAAGTTCTTTTTATTATTTTTAACACCCAAGTCCAGGTTGAGTTCTAGTTGGGCTTTGGCCTTCCTAATCTTTTCCCTACATAACTTTGCTATACCCTTGTAATCTTCCTGCATGGCATACATCTACTGTCAGCCTTTCTGCAGCTTGTGCCTGGACAAGATGGTGACTGTGTTCCACGCCCTGGTTTTTCCCCATGATCTAGACCCTGAGGAACAGGAAGATCCTCAGTACCATGATACAATATTTGATGTAGTACTTTCTGGGGAGAGGGAAATAGAAGGAAAATGCATTCATAAAGTACAGAATTATAGTAAATTTTTTGTATATGGAACTGTTTTTAGTACAGATTTGTGGGTCTATCAATGGTTCAGAATATCAGTGTAGAGTCATTTTGATAGAACATGGATCCAACATTTACAAAATCATTAAAATATTAGCAATGCCTTTGAAAAAGCTGAGGGAGAGTTTAGGACCATTTCTAGGCATTTTGACTCTAAGCACTTGACAGTGGCTTGGTTAGCTCTTTTTTTTTTTCTTTTTCTTGTCCTTTTCAACATTTGTTTTCATGATGTATCAAAACAGTTAAGCTTCATTCAAAATTAAATTAGATAGTGATTTAATGTGTAAAAAAAACCTGAGGAAAAAGTCCTGCTACAATTTTTCAGTATGTTTTCACCTTGAACAATGAAAAATAAATAAACAGAAAGATGTCTAATGTTCACCTCTGTGGAGAAACCCTCACATGTTTCACAACTATTTCTTAAAAAAGTTCAAAAATAATGGTCTAAATGGCCATGGTAAATTCTTCTACTAGTACAATCCATAATCTATCTTTTTGCTCACTTGTTTATTTATAACTCTGTATCTAAAAAGACAAGAAAGCATTATAATCCTTCTGCTTCCTTCTTAGTTTTACTGTTTACTATCTCTTAGCATGCAGCCACAAAATCATGACATCCATGTTTAGAAAGTGTTCACCTGTGTTTACACATGGGCTAGTCACTTCAACAGAGGAAACAACCATTATTATGGTGTGATAAAGTTCAAGAAAATAAACTATTGTGCTACTTCATGCCCATTGAGAGCATAACAAGGAAGATATATATCTCAGGACTATGAGGTGCCAAATGGGGATCCACAAACAACCTGGGATAAAGGGTACAGGGTGTGATACAGGTTGTATTGGGCTTATGTGACAACATTTTGGTAGCTGCATGAGAGGGAGAGCTGCAGAATGGCTTCTGTGAGAAGATGTCCCCAGTTTCATTGGGCTCCAAGACCCACTGCTGGCCAGAGCTGAACCAATCAGCTACAGTGTTAACATTTCTGTGATAACATGTTTAAGAAAGGGCAAAAACTGCTGCACAACAGCAGCTGAGAGAAAGGACTGAGAATATGTGAGGGAAACAAGTAAGCAGACAATAAGGTCTGTGAGGTGGGAGGGGAAGGAAGTGCTCCAGGCTGTGGAGCAGAGATTCCCTTGCAGCCTCTGGTGAAGAACCTGCAGCATCTCCACAGGATCACAGCTTCTTTTGGGACACAGACACTTGTTCTGGTGTGGGGTCCTTCACAGGCTGGAGAGTGGTTATCTGCTTGCACCATAGACCTCCATGGGCTGCAGGGCTATAAAGCATGTTATAAAGGGCATTGTCCAAATGCCTCTTAAACATTGACAGGCATGGGGTAACAAACACCTCTCTAGGAAGCCTGTTCCAGAGTTTGACACCCTCCTGGTAAAGAAATGTTACCTAATGTCCAGTCTAAACCTCCCCTGACACAGCTTTGAACCGTTCCCACATGTTCTGTCACTGGACACCAGGGACAAGAGACCAGCACCTCTCCCTGTGGAGATTTACCCTCCTCAGGAAGCTGTAGAGAGCAAGGAGGTCACCCCTCAGCCTCCTTTTCTCCAAACTAGACAAGTCCAAAGTCCTTCACAACTCGTCACAAGACATATCTTGCAGCCCTTTCACCAACTTTATTACCCCACCTCTGGAAGAACTCAAAGACCTTCAGATCCTTCTTAAATTGTGGGTGCCAAAATTGCATACAATGCTCAAGGTGAGGCCATGGAGGTGAACAACAAAATACAGCAAGATACAGCAAGAATAACATTTTCTGTATATAGTAACATTGTGATAGAATAAGGAAGTCAGCCTCAGTCTTTTTTGACAGGTGTTTTAGCTCTCTTTGTGTCTGTAGGGATTTGGCCAACTCATTTTCATTCTATCCAATGTTCCTACATGGTCTGGAAAATTATAAATCTAGAGTTTAGGATTTTCAAAAGAAAATTATCCATCAGCCAAGGTTCTAGTATGACTTATTATATTGTTTCTGTATCAGAATAATTTACAGTCAGGTGTCATCAAAACATCCTCATGAATGGGAAGGAGACACTTCCACATAGAAAAAATGATGCAATATCTTCCTTGCTGGACTTCACTGCAGCAATAAGGTCTGCAACGAACAAGCTGTAGCAGTCTTACTCAACTACAGTTCAAGAAGAAAACTTCTCGCTACTGTCCTTGTTCACTGTATCATTAGCATAGTACCTTACTGGTGTGAAGAACTGTCGGAGATAAGAGCAACACTGAAGTTGGTAAAACAGAAGACCCTTTATTGTAGCAAATACCTTGTTTCTTATTTATCATTGGTTATATGGGTTTCTCACGCGTTCAGCCATGCGCTTCTAATTGGCTAAAAGTCTCTTGCTTAGCCATCTTGATACATGTTGCTTTCTCTTCCGTGTCCCTCTTTTTCTTCTTACAACAAAACAGAAGACCCTTTATTGTAGCAAATACCTTGTTTCTTATTTATCATTGGTTATATGGGTTTCTCACGCGTTCAGCCATGCGCTTCTAATTGGCTAAAAGTCTCTTGCTTAGCCATCTTGATACATGTTGCTTTCTCTTCCGTGTCCCTCTTTTTCTTCTTACAACAAATCTTTGTTCCTCATATCTTCTCCGTCAAGGACTTTCAAGGTCTATCCAGAAGCCATCCTTCTCTAGCTGTTCAAACCCTACAAAGAACAGCTTGTGCCTATGATCTTTCTCAGAATCTCTTTCACCTCCTTGTTGCTCAGACAATAGATTAGAGGGTTCAGTGCTGGAGTGAATACAGCATAAAAGACAGACACGATTTTGTTGAGGTTGAATAGATGGATCCTCCTCGTCCTAGCATATGTGAACAGAGTGGCTGAGAAAAAGATAATTACTACAGTGAAATGGGATGTATAAGTAGAAAAGGCTTTTCTCCTTCCCTGGGCTGAAGGGATACACAAGACAGTTGACAAGATACAGCAGTAAGAGAAAACAATGATTAAGAGAGGTATGAACAGGATCACCAAAGCTAATACAAAGTCCACTGTTACTGCAATAGACATGTCAGTGCAGGAAAGATTCAGGACTGGAGAGATATCCCAAAAGAATGTGAGGCGTGAAATAAAAGACACCTTGACTAAGGAAATGGAAAAGCCTCCTGCCCGTGACAGAATCGACAGCTGAAAACACAGTTTGTGGGTCATGATGGCTTGGTAGTGCAGGGGACGGCAGACAGCCAAATAGCAGTCATAGGCTAATAGTCACACAGCCAAGAGGACACATTCAGTGCATATAAGGGAGATGAAGTATAATTGGGTCATGCAGACAAAGATGATGATTGCATTCTCAGTGATTGTTACCACGTAGATGACCAGAAAGACCAGGTAAAGTAAGGTCTGGACTTGCAGCCCACAGGAAAATCCCAGAAGAATGAGCTCATTGATAGCAGTTTGATTCTTCATTCCATATTGGGTGTCCACAGCTACCTCTGCAGGTGTCAAAGCAGGATTAAAAGGAAATGTAAGAGTTCCACAAAAGTAAGTTTGTGTGAATAATTATGGGCACTTAGTAAACTGTTTCCTGTCAAAAGAGAGGGATACAGATTTTTGTTTCCAGTTACTTGCTAGTCTACCTTCAGTAGCAACACTGGAAAAACAAACTGAAACTTGGTAAAAAAAGCTCCAGAAGACCTCTGTAATGCACGCTATTTTCCTGTAGGATGTCGTATGGAAGAACAGAGAGACTCTGACTGCTGACATTCACAAAACAGCATCACAAGAGTTCAGGTTGTGTATGGATAAAAAAACTAAAAACATAGGTGTACTACCAAATGAACATATAGTTTTAAAAATGTTGGGATTTCTTCATTTTCTATGAAGAAATTATCCACCTCTATATTTTTCAGTGATAGCGTGAGGTTTTTCAGAAGAGACTGCAGTAGAGATTACAACTCTGTTAGGAGTTTACGTTTAAGCAAGAAATTTTTAGTGAACCTGAAGGTTGGCTTCTCCAGTGGATGATTCATTTAAATCTTATTAAACACTGGTCTTTCAAAGAGAAGAATAATTCTTCGTAATTTTCAATTTGCACTTAACTCTGATTTATTTAGTCAAGAGTTTAACTTTAATTAACTACAGTAGATATGGCATGCTTCTATTGACTGTTTTGTTCTAGATTCCTTTTATTAGCAATCAATATCTGCTTAAGGCATTAATAGAGCATTGGTAGCCTAGAGTTAAATATTTTCTTTAGATATATGTCCTTTCGAAATACAGCACGTTTGCACTCTAGAAATGCCTATTTCTCATCACGGACATTTTAGTGATCCTTCTCTGACCTTGAATCATAGAATCATAGAATTGTCTAGGTTGGAAGGGACCTTTAAGATCATCTAGTCCAACCATCTACCTAACTCTGATAAAAAAGCATCCCTAAAACATGTCACTAAGCACTATGTCAACCCGTCTTTTGAATACCTCCAGGGATGGTGCCTCAACCACTTCCCTGGGCAGCCCATTCCAATGGCTGATAACCCTTTCAGTGAAAAAATTTTTCCTGATATCCAATCTGAACTTCCCCTGGCACAACTTGAGGCCATTTCCTCTTGTCCCGTCACCTGTGACTTGGGAGAAGAGACCAATCCCTGCCTCTCTACACCCTCCTTTCAGGTAGTTGTAGAGACCGAGAAGGTCTCCCCTTAGTGTCCTTTTCTCCAGGCTGAACCACCTCAGCTCCCTCAGCTGCTCCTCAGAAGACTTAGTCTCCAGACCCCTCACCAGCTTCATTGCCCTTCTCTGGACCTGCTCCAGCACCTCAATGTCTTTTTTTGTGGTAAGGGGCCCAAAACTGGACACAGTACTCAAGGTGAGGCCTCACCAGTGCCGAGTACAGGGGGATGATCACCTCTCAGGTCCTACTCACCATGCTGTTCCTGACACAGGCCAGGATGCTGTTGGCCTTCTTGGCCACCTGGGCACACTGCTGGCTCATGTTCAGCCGACAGTCAACCAACACCCCCAGGTCCTTTTCTGCCAGGCAGCTCCAGCCACTCTGCCCCCAGCCTGTAGCACTGCAGGGGGTTGTTTTCTCCCAGGTGCAGGACCCGGCACTTGGCCTTATTGAAACTCATCCTGTTGGTCTCAGCCCATTGATCCAGCCTGTCGAGATCTCTCTGCAGAGCCTCTCTACCCTCCAGCAGGTCGACACTGCCACCCAGCTTGGTGTTGTCTGCGAACTGACTGAGGGTGCACTCGATCCCCTCGTCCAGATCATTGATAAAGATGTTAAAGAGAACGGGTCCCAGTACTCTGTGTCCCTGTGGGACACCATTCGTTACCGGCCACGAACTGGATTTGACTCCATTCCCCACCACTCTCTGGGCCTGGCCCTCCAGCCAGTTTTTAACCCAGTGCAGAGTACACCCATCTAAGCCATGAGCAGCCAGTTTCTCCAGGAGGATACTGTGGGAGACTGTATCAAAGGTCTTGCTAAAGTCCAGGTAAACATTGTTGGTTCCCTGTCTTGCTCCTCCAAGAACTGAAAAGTCTATCTGCCCAATATGACCTCCAACCTCTATGTCCCCCACACGACCTTCTCTGTTAACAAGCAGCAGGTCCAGTAGGGCGCTTTCCCTGGTTGGTTTGCTCACCAGCTGTATTAGGAAGGTTGTCTTTCACACAGACAAGTTCTTCACAGAAAAGTGAAGAACTGACCTTAAAAGGCTATTGTGGTACACAACACTTTGTTACTCCTCTCCTTACCACTAGAAAAGAAATTCTTCTCTTTTTTTAAAGGAAGATTTTTTTTTCTTCTAATTATTATTTTTTTAATACACAAACATTAAAAAGCACTATTTTAGTAATTATAATGCTATGAATCCGAAGCAGTGGATCTTATGAACGTCTACCCTTGGGAAAAGCATAAAGCTTTCAGCTGGGTTTAATAAAGTATTCTGGAAGGGGTTAATGGGACTAGTTCACTGCAGATGCTTGTCCAGATTAATATTCAGTCAATCTATTGGCTGTTACTTCTACTGGCGTAAACACAAAATGCTGTTGTAGTACCATTATAAAGCCACTGACTGGCAATGATTTCTTTAAAATACATTTACTTAAACTTTTCAGTCAAGGTAGAATTAATTTCTTCCCCTTTGCCCCTTCCTTTCATGCTTTTCCTTCACTAAAGCTCCACACCTCCCTCCAGTCTCAAGAGCCCTTTTGGTGGGAGATTTCCTGAGAGGCAGTTGAAGAGCAGTACTTAAAAGGTTTTCTTCTCATCTGTGTTTTCTGCTGCTGAGTTATGAATACGTCATTCAGTGAACACAGCCTATCAAATCAGTTCTTACATAGGCAGGAAATGTCAAGATACACCTGTGATACAGAAGAGCAAAGGATAAAATATGATGATACAATAAAAGGCACCTCCTAAGGAAGTTTTGGAAGCTTTCTAGAAGCCGTTCTATGTTCTTCAAAGACCAGGGAAGGCTTACATTGGAGAGATAAAATCATACAGCCCTTCCATGAAAACCTAGATCTCTAACTGCATAGGAGGTAAGTTTTCCAGCTTGTCTGTCTTCTTTTCTTTTTTGTTTCCTTTCTTCTTCTCTTTCTTTCCTTTTATCTTTCTTTTATTTTATCGTTTAACAGTTGTGAAAATACAAAAAGTCAATTTCATTAAAGTTATCATTGGTCTGTAGTTATCTTCGGCTGGAACCATTTACAGAGTCAGTTCTACAGCCCCAGATCAGACTATTATTTATTTTTTTTTTCCCATTAACTGAGATTTTAGAGCAGAATACACGCAAAAAGGAGATTATGTAAGATAAGGATGAAATTTCTCACTTTTTTTGAAATGTTAGCAGTCAACATCATATTTTTCATCAGATTGCTTTGTTTCATACAACTGTAGTCTGTCCCTGAAAACATAATTTAAGAGGTAAGACATAATGTGTGGGAATTCTCCATTGAATTAGTCATTCTAGTTATCCTCCTTGAGTCAACAGAAAGGAGCAGGTACCTCCATCATGTCTTTAAGTAGATAACATAGACTGATCATTAATTGCTCTGCACAACCAGAAAAAGAGTGCATGTGACCAGCTCAGATAAAGATACCATCATGACATAAGTCAATGAGATGAGATCAGGCAGAATAATATTTTGTAAAATGTAATTTTATGGTGCTGGCAGGGACCTAAGCAAGAGGGATACACAGTAAAGCTGTGTTGTGAACAATGTGTATCTTTAGGAAAACATGATTTGCTTCCAGTTCTGCTCTGGCCTGGATGGAGCCTAGTTATTTCTCTTCTGGGTACTGCACCATCATAAAGGTGTGCCTATTCGATACTTTTGTGTTATTTTCTGGAGAAATCTATGTCATTGCTTAATGAAAAGAGGGATGGAAAGAATCAGAGCTTGGTATGACCAGGTACACATTGATACCATGTTGCCTTTTTTTTTTTTTTTTTTTTTATGTCTTCAGATTTTCAGATTGTGTTTTCTCCATTCCTTTGTTTCCTGTGTATGTTTGATCAATTTTTGCTAGCACAAATAGGGAACTGACTGTGATTTCATTGGGCTGGATTTATAATGGTGATTTTTACTATCAGTTGACAGGGAATGTTTTGATACTAGCATGAACCCCATGCAGCTGACAATTGTATTCTAAGGGCACCTATTTTTGGTTAAACACTGAGGAGAGTTTAATCTAGTTGTTCCCAGAGTTATTTAGGGGCATAATAAAAAGCTGGAAATGTTAAAGACTACAAATCCCTTTAAAGACAAAGATTAATTATTTGCTAGTAAAGTGTACTACTCAGCGTTCCAGCCGGAACAGGCTGAACTGAAGAAGTCCCATGTCCACACTGGAATGTGACCATATTGGAAATAGAAACCGTACAGATGTAGAAATACCTAGGGGTAAGGAGTTCAGCCATAGCACAAAAAAAGTGGGATAGTATTGTGGAAGGCTCTGAACTACTTTCAGGGGAGAAAGAATGTCATTTGATAAAGTTAACTTTAGTGATATTAATTTACTTAGGCTTATTCTAGTCAATGGAAATAAGAGTTCTCTAAAGAATCCCAATGTAGCCATTCTGCCTGTAGAGAGGCTTAGACTCACCACCAGCTGGACTGGCTTCACTAAGAGCATGGTAGCCATTGAGAATATTCCCCAGAGTGTGTAAAAAAAAAATAATAATTAAAAATCAATACTTGGCAAAATTCATACTATGCTGGCCCAACAGATATCACCAGAAACTTTCACTCTTCCTTCACCTGAAAGTAATGGTACATAGATATAGAACTAAATACTAAATTAAAACTTTTGTGAAACTGTTTTTGTTTTCTCCAGGATATATAACTTCCCCAGAACTCACTTTTCAGCCCAAGATGCAAATTTATCTTTCAAAATGTATATAGACTAGATATCTGGTTTTCATTCTTCTCTAAACAATTCATAGATCTTG